ATGATTGATTTAGAGACTGAGATGAATCGATCGCACCCAAGATGTATTGCGTTGAAGTTGTGGATCCATCTGAAACAGCGCTGCAAAGTGATCAATATCCAAACGATTCATTTGCTCTTAGTGGAAGTTAACGAATGAAAAATTACAATAATATTTCTCATCATGTTTTGGAAAAATCACGGCAGATTTGAAGTGTTCATTTTTGTTTACTCGAATCGTGATCTTCTGCCGTCAAGTCGAAGCGACACAGCGTAAGGCGCGCTGAGCAACTATTCCGCCTCAGAAGTATTGCACAGTATCAGACGGAAATGAAGGCGCACTAACGTGTGTAAACTGACTCGTATTGTTTAGTCCTGCGTAAAGTCCTACTTGATCCTACGAGATGCAGTTTCTGTTCAATCGAATTTTGTATAACTTGGTGCCAGGTGGCATTCTCTTCACTTGTAATTTGAATTTCAACTAAAATTTTCTTATCGAATATGGAATAACGTGTAATTAAATGAGTCTATTTCGGTGGAGATGCCGTGGACGCACTGTGGTTCGAGTCAATCAGAGAGGTTGGACATGAAATTTTGTACCAAAACTGCAAATTTTGATGTTCATTTTGCTACATTTTAAATTTTAAGGGATGCTTTAGAAAGAAAATTTCTCGAGGAGAGTCCCTTGAATCCTCTTGAATGTCACGCCAGTGTTGATGAAGGACAAAAGTAGGTGCCTCGCAGCGCCACACAGTGGATCGCGTCAATTGGAGAGGTACGACATGACATTTTTTACTAAAACTGCAAATATTGATGTTTATTCCGTCACATTTTAAATTTCAAGGGGTGCTCTAAGAGGAAAATTTTACGAAGAAACCAATGAAACCACTTTAGAACCTTAAAATTTTGTATGAACGGAGTTATAAGCGTTTAAAGTTTCCAAATGTTGTCCGACCTCTTGTATTGACTCGATCCACCGTGGGGCGGTGACACAGGAGTTGGTCATTCGGGGGCGGAAGTGGACAGTGAGCCCAACAAGGGTCATTGATGAGCGCGGAATACATTATCGAGTGCCCGCGGCGGTTGTCGGCCTAATCGCCTCGAAATGAAATACAACAAATTAGATTCCGGGAACAGATAGCCGCCAATCCGATGCCCCGCAAAAAGCTCCGACATACCTCATTACGGCACTTGCAGCGGCCTCTCATGGACCCGCTCCGAAATTTATGAACCATAATTGATTTTATGATATATCTCCCCGTTCGGACTCCTCCGAAAACACCCCGAGCGCTTTCACCCCTTCGTTCCGACACACCCACTCCGTTCATCGATAACCGGCGTAAGTGAAAACGCCGTATGAGCATTCCAACGTTGCCAAATTCCCTCTCAGAATGTACTCATTTATGGGGGAAGTTATGGATATTTTTCCTTGACGTTTTCCGACTTCTTAAATCAAATTACGAACGAAATACTCTCGACAAAAATTGGGAGGGAAACGTCTACAAATTTCCCTGAAAATTCCGGAAAGTGGAAAGAAGTTTGGAAACGCCGGATGGCTCGTACGCGGCTTTTACTTAGCGCGGGTGATCAGAGGTCCGGTGAAATATTTTCCCACCGCTCGTCTGCATGTCCCTGCGTTGTGTTTGTATCTATCTTAATAGATAGCGGCCCTTTTTGCCCGGCGGGCGACGGCAACGTTGCTAGATTGTGCTGTACAATATGGATATTTTACTCGGGTTTGAATAAGGGAAAAGTACTGATTTTTCAGCACTACTTTTCGGCAATGGGTGATGATTATCGGATGTGTGAACAAACGCCACTGGTGAGTCATCAGCGAAATTGAATTCTTCCTCCTGAAAGTGGCCCAATTCAACACCTCCTGTTAAATTGGCAATAATATTACGCTAATAGAGAATACCCATAACGACATTTTCAGTTCGCTAAATAAATAACATATATTTCTAAGGGAGAGAAAATGTCACACAACTTCAATTTTAAAACATTTTACACTGCATCTGCCGCAGTGGTATGAGGAAAAAAGGAGACAAGGAAAAATAAGAATACGGAGAATCTAAAAGGAATAATAAGAATGCCCTTTTACTCGTCTTCTTTTTATTCTTCTTCTTTTTAAGAACATTCTTTGCCATCTTGGTTTGATATTGAAATCGGAAGATTGGTATTGAAATTTTTTTTGTTAGAAGGTTGGCTGCCCTTTTGAGCCATAAGAGCTTCATACTTCTTCTTGTCTGTAAACGCCCTATATAGGTACTTTAGTCCAGTGGTCCATATCAGTAACGAGCCTGCAAGATGCAAAAACATGACTGCATGGCAACACTGGGAGGGCTCCCGGCCCGATGAGGCAGCATTGTCGGAGCCTGAATAAAAGCTCTAATTTACTCGAGTTAAAAATCCGGGCTGAGTGGATGCAAGTTTGAGGGGCGTAACACCGGCGGAAGGGGGGAGGGGGCTGCGGGGGTGGCGCTCGTCAAGAAGTTGGAGTCACTTTTTCGATCTACTCAGACCTTAATTAGCGCGCTGAAGCCTCGGCCCAGCCCCCGCCCCCGCCCCCGCCCCCGCGGCTCCAGGCTCGAGGGCCGTCTCCGTCGCCGTCGCCGAATGTGAAACGGACGTATTTCTCCCAAACGGAACTATGTGCATCAAGAAATGAGCCCTGAGACCCATGAGAATATACGCATAACAGGGCTCACGTCATAGTACACATAGTTCCGTTCGGCAGAAATGCGTCCGAATGCGAAATGCGAGTCGTGTCCCTGTCCCCGCGTCATAATCTCCGACCCTTCGGTCTTCGGCCCTCTTCATCAGCCGCCGCCGAGCCACCCAAGAGGATCCCTCAAAGATCCCTGAAAAATTCCGTGTCTCTCAAATTCCGCGCCGGGCTTGATGGAGGATAAGGGTAGGTCCCGCCGAGCGTCGTCGCGAAATATTTCACGGATACAGTACTCATAAAGCTGAGCATTTCTTTGTTTTCAGAGTACTATGGGTTGGTTTTCGTTCGGTTTCATCGACCATACGGATTCGGTTAATCTACCAAATTTTTGGTTTGTCCCTTTCTCTTGAATTTCACGCCAGGGTTGATGAAGGATAAAAGTAGGTGCCTCGCAGCGCCGAAAATAATATTAACAGAAAATGTTTCAAAGATACCGTGCTTATAAAGCTGAGCATGTCCATGTTTTTTGATTACTTTGGATGGGTTTTGTTTGGATTGATTTATCAAAAGGATTTGGATGAACAACTAAATCCTTCGTTGAATCAACTGAAACTTCGACTATTTCCAAAAACCTAGTCCACGTTATTTTACCATTTGAGAATTTTCAACGGAAAAAAGTGTTAGGGTTTATCCCCTAGCTATAACTGTGGTACCACTCCAATTTATTGGATGATATGGAAATGTCCAATTAATTTTGGTAGTAACGCAACATTTGGGTTAGTTGTCTAATTTATTAGGGTGCTACCACAACTGATTGGGGTACTACCACCATTTATTGGAAATGCCCAATTTGTAACTTAACCCTTACCTCTGTTTTTCTATGATCCTAAAAAGACAATGAAAAATATTTTAAAGGGTTTCACAATCCCAACCGTGCCGCTCTTCAGAATGATCGCCGATGACACTGTTTATCCCGCACACCCACAAACTAATTCCGCTTGTGAAATGCTGAAGTAATCCTACTTTCCTCAGCTGTTTATTGCATGTCATGCATCTGAGGATCTGCCGAATTTCGACCGCTGAATCTCGTAACACTATCGCGGATTGCGTGCTTCGGATCTCGCGAAAATGCACCGCGCTATATTCTACGTGTGCAAGGTCTGCAAAAAGCCGGAGCTTTTATTTCTTCTCTAGTCAGACAAAAGGCGTTTTCGTTCTCAACGAAATTGCACACAACCTGCAAAGATCCGTCATTTTACGAGGCACATCAATGTTGAAGCTGCTCTCAAGCCGGCGCAAAATGTGGACCTTTTACCAAAACCATTGTCTTCAAAGTTGCCAAATTATGCACATATTATCAAGATAGTGTAGGTACAAAATAGTCTCGCCGGAGTCGTATCGAACTGCACATTTTATTCCATGCAGACACCGCCTCACAGAAAGAACGTAGCTACATTTCACCGTTGCAAAATTTTCTTCTCGCAAATTGCATTTTCAGCAGAATACCGATGGTCCTTTTTAACTGAAACAAAGAATTTTCCTCCGAAAATACGCTGTGATCAGCAAAATTAATTGAACAGAAATTGCATAATAAAATTTTTTGTGAATTATTGAATAAGTGTAGTCAATTTGGAAATTAGGCACGTTTCTTCGTCTAGGAAATTACGAATGGGCCACTAGACAAGGTCTAAACTATGATAATACAGCACATCGACGGTGTAAGTCAGCAATCACATGACTCGGTTTGCGAAGACGCAGACTTCCTGTTATACATCATTTTTTAAACGGAAAACTACTCCACGGCAATTCTTTGAACTGCCGTGATTTTTCTTCTCTGTGCGAAGAAAATTCTGCAAAAAATTCAAAGAATGATGTCAATTTCTTCTCCTTTAAAAAAATAACATAGGGGCGGAGATTTCCAGACACCGCGAACGAGATATGTGATTGCGGATGTACGCCATCGACATATTTCCTCTTCAAAATCTTACGGAAAAAACGTCTTGCACAACAGGACTGATATATCGACAATTATTTTGAACGTAGATTTAAATGGAAGTTAGATTGTACAAATGACGTCATTTGTATATCTGTCTTTTCACTAATGTTAAGTTAGTGTAGTTAATGCTTAAGTTAAGTGTAAACGCTCATATCTTGTTCAGGAGTTGATTTCCATACAACCCATTGCATGATTTGTTTTTCTCAGGAAATGTTGAAGAGAATATTCATGGCAAATGCTTTAATCCACACTTTGTCCAGAGAATAATTCTTGATTAAAAATCGGAGTTTACATGACAGCGCAATGTAATTTCCTCTTTCATGCCGGGAGACTAATTCAATTCTTTATTTTGTTCCAGATCCGAGCTCATTTACTTTCCGAACAGCACCGACTCTTTTTTTCAAATCCAGAACGTAGAGATTGCAGACGAAGCCATGTACAAGTGCGAAATCACGTACTTGGAAGTGAGGGAAAACTGCCAAGTAGTCCAATTCATCAATTTCACGACACTGAGTAAGTTCCAACATCTATTAATTCTACAAGTCACTCGAAATCGGGCGCAGTCACTTTGCCGCGAACCTTTTTCCTCGCGGCTTTCAGGGCTCGCTCCATCGACTTGGGCAGCTTTGACTTCTTGGCTTATCTTGAAACCACTTTTATGTTCGGGCTTTCAACTTGAGCGCTTCCGACACATGCATGGCAATGACTGCGTCTACGAATTACTTTTTTCTCTCAGTGAAAAGTCATTTTTTGAAACTACTGTTTACATTTGCCTCGACCCATCTCTGTGAAGATTTTGAGGCTCCACACAATGGATCGAGTCAGTGGGTGAGGTCGGACAAAATTTGGAAACTTTAAACGCTTATAACTCCGTTTAAACAAAACTTCGAGATTTTCAAAGTGGTTCCATTGGTTTTCTCGTAAAATTTTCTATCAGAAGCACCCCTTAGAGTTCAAAATGTGGTGAAATAAACATCAGAATTTGCAGTTTCAGTAAAAAAGTTCATGTCCAACCTCTCGAATTGACTCGATCTACTGTGCGCCTTAAAAGAGATACGCGTCGCTACAATGCCGTCCTCAGTAAAAACGCCTCAAATCCTTTCTAAGTATTTTCAGCTTTTTACTGATAAAGTGTTTTATCGCCGAAAAACCACCGACTTTTTGGACTTCATTTTGCAATTTGGAACTGCAATTCCTGACTCATTCTAAGAATTACATATCTGCCCAGAGAAATCAATGACGTATCCGTTGTTTCTAAAATGAGCCAGATATTGCAGTTCCTTATTGCAAGACGTGGTTCATTTGTTCCTCTTAATTCTAAAATAACTGTGGTATATCATTAAGAATTCAAATACCAAATGAGGCGTCATCATGATCAAGTTTTCTTGTAAGAGAACAGAATGTGTGGAAGGAAAGTGCAATGTCTCGATCATAGTTACGGCGGTTTGCCTGTAAACGGGAATCGCAACCACATAACCCACGTGTGACATTGAGAGAAACAAAGGCACATTAGTTCAGTAGAAAACTTTATTTTTCGTGAGATGCCTAAGAGTAACCTACGTTTTTTATCGATTCAACCATATTTTTGGTCAAATAACCTTTTGGTTGATCTGACCAAAAAAAAGTAACTCAAATAAATACAAAAGTTTTTAACTGTGTGAGCGAAAATTGGAAAGTTTGGAAAACAAAATCGGGCTCAGAATAAATGGCGAACACACGATTCCACCGAGATGACGGACTAACAGATAAAACCACCTATCACCTTTGAGAAAATAAGAATAGATCTGTCGTTTCTGACCTGGGGGAGCCGGGCAAAGTCTTTTCATATTCGGACAAAGGAGAAGTTCGCAAATACAAGCGAACGGTCGGTTTGAAAACCCAACTTGTCCTTTTTTTTAAAGCTTTCGCTTGTGTGCATTCTTATTGCCCCTAGAGGTCTTCGTTAAATGGATTAGTCCAGTTTTCTGATCCAAGCTAATACGGATTTCACATTAGGGCCCTAGCCAATCAACAACTTGCTCTATCGAATAAATAGAGTCTTTTAGCTGTCCAAATAAAGCTCAGTCTTTTAGTGCTTGCTCTTCTTTCACGATAGGCACCCGAGTAGGGGAAAAATCAACGACAAACTCGAAATTTTTTGACGTATATCTATAATTGGACCTTATTTTACAATTAAGAGTAATTACAGTTGAGTAGAGTTACAATTTCCAGCTCAGTCTAGGGACAACGTTTCTACCATTAATTTCCCTGTGCACATGCGTGTTTGTTTGCATGAGCAAGATATTGTAGTTACTAATTGCAAAATGTATTTCTCGGCTAAAAAAAAAGAAGAAAAATATCTTTGTATGATCTGTGAACTGCGGCAAACAGCGTCCTAGTAATCATGCAAACTAATTAAGAGAACGGCTTTCAATTTAAAGAACTCACAAATAAATAATCAACAATCGAAACAAAAAAAATGAAAAACTTGACTCGCAGAAATCAGTATATTTAGGCATAAGGTGCCTAAAAAAGGAAATTCGGATCAGCTAATGCACAATCAGGAGAGAAAAAAAGGGACCCAAACATACTTTATCGCAAGATGAATTTTGCAAGCTGCCTCGTTTAATAAAATATTTAAATTCTCTCGACATGGATTTTTGGTCTGGGGGTTGAGAGGGTTGATTATTGGCCCTATTCGACAAGTATGTAAAAAAATGCACGCACGCAGAGGTCTCTATTTACAATAGCCGAGGTACTTGAAATTGATGCGCTGCCCCCCGCCCTCTCCTCCACTTATGCGGAGGCAGAGATGCCAGTTGAATATAAATTACCCTTTTATTTGACAGATTTTACAACCTTCCTCTTGTCCTACAAGGTTCTCTATTTATTAGTTTTACTCATCACTTGTGAGTACCACTGACACAGGCAATTCTGCACTATGTTTATGGCACGATAGAGAAACGCCGTGGTCACTGAGAGATTAAATAAGAGGAAAAACGTATTTTCAAGTGATGGAATTTCAAAAACTATACGCAAATGTGTGAGTCACTGTAAAATCAAATTTTTAGCATTGGAATGATTTGAACCGGCGCGATTTTTTGAATGTGATGTTCTCTTCACAAGGCAAATAAGTAACACTTTTAATGTACAAAGTGAAAATTAAAATGATGATGACATTTTGCAGACATATATCAAGCAACGGCATCTCACGAGGAAGCCCATAATCAGTCGATTATCCCTTAGTCAATAACAACCACCCATCTCAACCAATAGAATCGCCCCATTTTCTGTATATCCTCTTTGTCCATTTTTTTTTTTTATCAATTTCAATAATCAGCCCGTTGTTGCACACGAGACCAACCGAGCAGACTCTACCTAAGTAAAATTGCACATCTCAAAAACAAGGGGCTGGCCGCAGCTTTTTAACTTATCGTAATGCTAATTGCCTATTTGAGTAATTGAAGGTGCAACGAGAGACTCTTTTCTCGGTATGACGAATCCCAATTTTCTGATTGTGATGGTTGATTTACAACCCTATTAAGTGGCTTACTCTAACATACCGGTCTACATAATGAGATTCTTGAATATGGCATCGTCGCAACCCTATCCCTTCCATCTTGGCAATGCCATAACCCTCCGCGAAGCATAATAAGCGGCCGGGGCGATCGCGGAAATGCGCAACCGAGACGCTTGCATGTGTAGCGCATTTGCAAGCACCTAAGTGTACATAATAGCCTCACATCCTCGTCGCACCCTTGCCAGATCCCCACCCTCACCGCTCCTCCAGGACGCAGCTACCCACGCAGCGAGCGCGAATCCGACAACAGCGCTCTCTCGCGGTGGAGGAGTGTAAATACTGGTGGAACAAGGGGTAAGCGAGAAAAAAATCGCCGAGGCGGGTCGGAGCGGATTTTCGCTTTAATTGGAGGGCAAAAAAGAATCCAGAACCCTCCCCCTCCCCCTCCCCCTCGCGGGTACGGCTGAGACAATAGGCCTCGGCCCCCCAATTAAACTTATAGACGACTCATCCGATTTGAGCCGAGGAAAACAACTGAATCACCCCGTGTTTAAAACCTCTCAAGTCTATGAACTCACGAGCCCTGAAATATGAAGCGTTCTCATGGGCTGTAACGCACACCGGGCGATGGATATAGTTGGTTTTAGCGTTCGCCAATTCGACGTTGGTGAAGGATCGCCGCCCGACCCTGCGAAAACAATGGGATTCAGGCGAATTTTTGCAGGGTTCAGGCAACCGTGAGACGGAGTAGCTCTCTCGTAAGCCTTGCCCCTCGAGCACCTCGGAAGGATGGAGGGACATGCTCATTTCGTGTTCGCTGTTATTGTTAGCAGTTCCTGGGGTCGCCAATGAGCACGCGGTTGTGAAGAGGAGAGAGGGGCTTGGAAATAGTTATTCAAAAGGTCATCCTTTTACAGTGGAGCAACTTGGAATTATCAATCCGGGCGGATAGAGAACTGCAACAAGACGATTTTGGAGATCCTTCTTCTTTGATGGGATATGATAAGGCTGTAAGGAATGGAGTCATTGTTTGGTCGAGTTCAGTGTTTTAACTAAACTTGGGAGGATTTGACTGAATTAAACGGAGTGGGACCAGGGCTTATTTAATTAGAACTGGGAAAAAGAGGCTTAGAGGTTTTGTTCATCGTGATATTCAGTGGAAATGATACGTATTGTGCTCACATTTAGGATATCCCAAATTGTTCATGGGCTTTGGTTTTTTCACAGGAAAATTTAACTATTTAATGAACTCAAAATCACCCCTTAACGCAATTTTCTCGACAATGTGGCTGTTAAACTCAGTCCAATCGGGCTACTTTTTAAAATGAGGAACTAGTTACTCTCTCTCTCTGTCTGGTTCAACCATGAAAGCGCCTATCTACTTTTAAAAGCTGATAAAAATTCTAGATTTCTATTGCAAAATGCTGTCCAATTTCACATTGATTATCATGGATAATCTTGCGTACCACCAACTAATAAGGCAGAGCTATGGTTTATAAACTTGGTTCATAACAGACGAGAATATGATTAGAAAATTAACGCTCGTTTTATGAGTTGTCATATTTGATGAAGAATTATGTATTATAGTTAAATATCAACATGAAAGTCTAATTTGAAACTACGTCAGGAAAAAACGGTTCGGTATACCATTGAATGAATCCTTCTTTTATTTAATTTACTTTGGGGTGGTATGAAAAATTATATTTTTAAATAAAGGAAAATTATCACGAGAATTGTATACAAAGAGCTAGTATTGGAATGCTACAATTGGAATACATTTTGCAATTCGGAACCGTAATTTCTGGCTCAGTTTAGCATCAACGCATGCACCGTTCGTTTCCCTGTGCACTTAAGTGTTTTTACGGAGAAGTCAGAAATTTTAGTTCCTAATTACAAAATGTGGTTCAACTCCAGTTTCTTTTTCTCTATCGTCCTCTTTTTTCCTTCTTCTTCTTTTTTTATTTTTTTATTTTTTGCTGCTCAAATTTATTCCTTCTCAAAGAATCAATTTTTG